GGGTAATAAAACATAATTAAAAAACTATGCAATTTAAAAAAATAGAAACAAAGTAGACGTCTAATTTAAAAATTTATTAAAAAAATTTATTTTAAAAATTATTTAGTTTAAAAATTTATTTAGTTTTTATTTTGCTATTACAAGCTAGTTAACATCCGGTCATTAAAAATGTATTTTTAAGCATTTATTAATACACAACAAACTATAAAATAATTAAAATATTTTCTAAACATTTTCTTAGAATTATGAATGTACTGTAAATATATAAAAAGGCTTTATTTTTATTTAAGCAAACAATTAATTCTTTTATTTTTCGAGAATATCAAAAGAAATTTTTATTTCCGAGAGAATTAATTAATTATTTAATTTCATTTACAATTTGAAATTTTTTTTTCTGCATTATTTGATTTTAATTTTCATAATTCTATACAACACTTTTATGTTTTGTAAATACCTGTGTTTGTTAATAAATTAATAAAAGTTTATTGTTTAACTCAAACACACAATTGATTCTTTCAATTAAAAGTAGAGGAGATTAAAGGAGCTATATTAAAGGAGCTAAAAAATTTTATTAATAAGTTTTAATGTTCTTAGAAAATTCATTTTCTTTTCTTATTTTATATAATCATTTCCGCTTTTTAAATTTATACAAAAAATCTCTTCTTCAAAAATTTTATTTTTAATTAGTAAAATGTCAAATCAAATTAATTTTGTGGTATTTTGAGTGAAACACTAAAATAGTTTGAAGATAACTTTTATCTACCGGTTGTGCACAAGGTGAAACACACAGAAAATAAATGATTAAGAATATTTAGTAGAAAATATTTTTAATTGTTAAAAAATTCGGTAATTCTAAAATTTATGGTCTATATTTCTGAGAGTGTGAGATTATAAATAATCTAACCCTCATATGTCACTTTTAGGGTTGTCGGTTCTGGACCGCCCGAACCGAAGATAAAAAAATCTAGTCACTTTCATTCATACGCAGTTATAATTGTAATAAATTGTGTCCCAGGGGTGATATATTAGAAAGATTCCACTCTAATAAATATAGAATTTCAACTATATCAAGTTTGATGCTTCAAAACCCGTAAAATAATAAAGTTTTGATTTTAACTAAGTATTAATCCTCTCATAAACCACCTCCAAGAAACAAATCTTACTTAATTATTCCAAATTCTTTCATTATTATATTCTTCAATTTAATGATTTTGAATTATTCCAAGCCCATTAATCTACCTACAATTTCGTCATAACCCATCACTCTTTTAAAAGTTGCAATGCTCTACTTAGAAGCACCCTCACCAATTGCTAACTAATAAAGTTTTGATTTTTGTTTTTATTCAAAATAATTTTGAAAAATATTTTTATACATCTCACAACTCGTTTTATCGCTCAATTAACCTTCAAAAATCGGTATAAATTCATGTGAAGATAATTTATTCTAATTTATTTTTTATTTTAATTTCCCAAAATGTTGCGTTTTTATTTTGTTGTGATTAAATAAATGACAGACTATTTTTTGATAGACCATGGTTATCAGATGGGGTTTTAGAAAAAGGAGGGGTATTTCCTTGAAAAAGGCGAATTTTATTAAAAAAATAGGAGTTGGTTAAACAAGACGCGTATTTCCCTGAAAACAAATTTTTAATTTAATTAATTAATATTTAATCTCTAGAATTATCCATTTGGAATTCGTTAGGAATATAGTCCCTATATTTTAACACTCATTCTCGCCATATTTGATAATCAGGAAATCCAAATTATTAAATTTAGCTCCGAATCAAATCACTAAAAATTCTAGTTTATTAGTCTATTGGTTTAATCATCATTTCTCAATTGATTACCCTCACTCGAATTTTTTGATATATCATTAAGTATAATATTTTCTTCAACGAGAAGTTTAAAAAATAGTTACACCAAGTTCGAGTAAATACACAACAAACATTATTTTATCAGAAAAAAATTTCAAAATTTTTGTGATAATTTTTCTCTTTCCCAATTTAAATATCTTTTTTATTTAATAATTAACCATAAAAAATTTAAGATAAAAGATAATAATAAAAATATATAATAATAATTGCTTTCGCGCAGATTAAAAACTCCCCCCCCCCCTCCATTTTTGTCTCTTTTTCTCTCAATAATCATTGATTATACATTAACAAATTATTTTAGTATATTTAATTATTTATTATTGTCTGCAACCTTTACAGTCATTTAAAGTAATATTTTAGTATATAATTTGTTGGTTAAACAACAAAATAATTAAATATAAATATTTTATTTAGAGAAACAATTTTTAATTACAATTTTAATTTTTATTTAAGTTTATCTCCTCTATTTTTATTTAATCTCGAATGTTTTTTTTCAGAAATTTATACATAATAAAAATACAATTGATATTAAGTTTTTGCGTGCCTAATAAAATAATATTCGATAAAAAGTACATTAATTTAGTAAAAAATGTGTTTTGGTATTTTAGAAGGAATTAAAAGCTTTGCTAAAAACATACATAGTAAATTCCTTTTAGAATTATTGGGATTATTTGTTTAGAAAATTGTTTTTTGAGAGTTGATATCTATAATTTCAAAGAAGATATCTATAAAAAACGGTTATCGCCTTGTGACAAACTCTGGAGAATATATATTAGGACCCCATGAAATTTTTACATGCTTCCATCCCTTAATCTTTTATCTTTATCAATTGTAGGGATTTTCTGGATTCAAATTACAATCCTATGTTGCCTTCATTTTCCATCATGTTTTTTTTCAATTATTAATCAGATTTAAATCTATACTTGCTTTAAGATTAGATTTCCTTATTTAAAAAAATTTTTATTCTTTTGATATTCGTTTTCTTAAAAATATTTTTCAATTTACTTTGTAAAAATTAAGCAAATTTACAGAAACATTTCAAAATAATGTGTCACAAACAGAAAAAATAGGTCAAGACAAATTTATTTTTAATTTTACAAAAGTTCCTTTAAAATTTTTGTTCGTTTCCCCGAAAATAAATAAATTGGTTTAAATATATTTTTACGTTCATTTCCACATTTACTTTACAAATATCCCTCCCCCCCCTCCTTCCTCTAAATGACCGCGTGGAGGTCACAATTATACTTCCCCCTTTTTTCTTTTTATTTTCAATATTATTTTACTATAATTCTGACCTAATAAGAAAAATATATTTTTTGATATTTAATGTAATTTTTCGACAAAGTTTAAAAATAGTAAAATGTTTTTGAGTTGTCCCAAAGGCATTAGGCAATAATAAAATACCTAATTTACAGTAGGGAAAAGAGATTTATCAAAAAAATAACAGAAATGCTTACGCTTAAATAAAAAAAAATAAAACTTTGAGTAATTATTACCTATCGCTGGAAGGGTTAATCTAGAGAGGTCACTTTTTATTTAGCAGTGAAATTTTTATCAAGGAGCTACCTATCTGAAAAATTGGAAACTTCTCTTACAGCTTTCATAGTGTAAGGATGATTCACCTAGAGCATTTAAAACGCTTAGGCGGGGGTTAACTCTTTCTGGTGCCACTAGCAGCGAACCTCACTTGCTGCTATGGTGAATGAGCCGATCCACGGTCATGGCGATTGACAGAGGGACCGGTCTGATGTGGTGATGGAGATTCAAGATCTAAAAGGATAAAGGAGAAAGCATTAGTCGATGCAAGATGGTTTTATATAACTGCAAGATGGTCTTAGGTTCGAATCCTGCCCGGTAGCTAAACTTTTGCTAGACTCTTTCTATAGCTAGCTTTGAGGCGTGTTTTTCAGTACCGAAATATTGATATACCGGGAAAGTCATTTTCCGGATCTATGTAAATATTTACCAGAAATTGCATGTAAAAAGTATGATGCTAAATCCAGGTTGATAGTCCAGGTATTTGAAACAATATTGCCTTTTTTATGTCAACCCCCTGTCTTTATCTTGATTTTTTACTTTCTACGTCAATATTTTTAGTCTTTTTTCCCAACAGTTACACTTGCATATACACGTGAAATTAGTTAATTTAATTTTTATTTATTTTGTAAATGCAAAATTAATTGATAAAAAGAAAAAATTTTCTTTTTAAAAAAGGAAGAATTTTAAAAAACCTGTCTGTTTTTATCTTTTGTATTTATTTAAATAAAACTTGAGTACTTTTTGTGAAAAGATTAATGAGAGAAAATGAAAAAAGAATAAAGAATAATTTTTTGATTGAAAATTTTTTATTTTCTCTTGTCTGGAAATTTAGTTTTAATTTTTTGACGTGATTTTATGCAACTTGAAAATAAATAATTACTCTTTTAGAGGCAGTAACTCTCTTTAGTTTATTTATTTTTATAAAAAATAAAAATGATTATCTAGAGACCGAAACTAAAAACACTTTAGAAATTTCTGCTAAAATTAAAATAATTATGTAGGAAGACACTCATTATCTTGTTTCGTCATTTCTAATCTCCTGAGCAGTGCTTGGAAGCTCGTACCAAAATTCGTACTCGTATTTATGTAGGTACGAAATACGAGTACAAGCAAATCTGAAATTTCCATGCACTGCCTAAACAAATCTCCATAAGGCGACAAATATCAAAATCATACATGGCTTGAATTAACTAAGTAAAGATCCAATCCCTTCTGGCATTTAGACTCCATTACGTCACTTTTTCTACTTCAAGGTCTCTAATATTTTTATACAAAAATCAAAAAATAAAAACAAAAAAAGCATAAAAATTTTTTTAAATTAATTGACCCTTTGTTAATTAAAAAAAGGAATTTAAATTCTCTTAAAATTGACTTTTTTAATAGTTTTTTTTCAAAAAGATTAATTTGATATTTCTGTTACGCAGTGATATTGGATATTTAATTAACCAATCTCTGACTACTTCCCATTTTTATTATCATTTTTATATTTTTGTAATTTTACGTTTAAAATAAGTCAGCTGTTTAATTTTTATTTCCTTTGATTTTGAACGAAAAGTTAAATAAGCCTTCTATATAAGGTAATTAATTAATATTGTTACGTGTAGTTTTGTGAACTTTTATTTTGTTGTTTCCGATTTTCTGATTTTCTATATTTTTCTGATTAAGTATTCTGATTTCCTTTTCTTTTTCTTATACTTTATTCTGATTTGTTATTTTGAATTTTATTCCGAGTTGATATTCTGGTTTTTTCTAATACATTATTTTGATTTTATTCTGATTTGTTATTCTGATTTTATTCTGGGTTGATATTCTGGTTTTTTTCTGATTCATTATTCTAATTTATTATTCTGAATTTTATTCTGTTTTTATTCCTATTTTTATTCTGATTTGTTATTCTGATTTTTATTCTGATTTGATATTCTGGTTATTTTCTGATGCATTATTCTGATTCTGATTTCGTTCTGATTTTTAATCTGATTTTATTTTTCTGATTTTTGTTATGAGTTTTTAATCTGACTTCTATTCATATTTACATTATTTCACTTCAAAAATTCAATGATATTTTTTAAGCCTAATTATAATTAAACTTATTTGTAGATATTTATTGTCTGAACATATTGTCAGATTTATAAAATTTCTGTACAAATGGCACTTTTCTAATTATTATTTAATTAAAATATTGAGGAAACAACACCTTTTCCTCCTTCTCTCCCAAATATTTTCCGTCGATGCTCCAAAGGTTTAGAGAGGGCTTCGAAGCTAAATTAACATCAATATTTAATACTCAACATTTATTTTCTAATAATTTTTGGATTTTTATCGGATTAATTTCAACATTAAATTACTGTGATGCTTCTGTTTCTGTTGAACAATGCTGCGAACGAGAAAAAATACCTAATATTTGTGTTCGGACTCTTTGCAACCCTGTAAATTTCTTTTTGTTAATTCATATAATTAAGGGTTTTAATTAAAAGGCAAAACAAAAATTTTTTTATTAGTTTGAAAAATAAAAGAAATTTAAAAAAAAATAAATTTTTTAATTAAAAAAAATAAATTTTTCTCTTTTCAAGGCTTCCCCGCCAAGTGATTTTGATGTCTATGACGTTTTCGATAGGCGCAACAACTGTTCTAGATATTTAGATTCTGTTGCTAAATGCCTTGCCGCTGGTCGCGATCACTCTCCTTGTTGTTCGAGGGAGGCTAAAGATTTGGAAGAAAATGCCTGTTTTGGCAAGTTTTCTTTTGAAAAACTAAAAGAGCAATGGATCTGTAGTTCATTTCCTAATAATTAAAAAAATGCCAAGATACCCTAAATTATTTTATTTTAAATAAGGTCATCTTTCTACTAATTATTAATTTATTAATTAGCATAAAAATAATAATTACAGTCAAATTATCTCTTTATTATTATAGTTACCCCAAGAGATTGAAATAATAATTAATATTCGAAAAATATGGTACTTTAGTATAGACTTTTGTTATTAATTTTTCAGGATTATGTCGAGGGGATGGCCATTTTCACAGGGCAAGTGCCTATCAGACTTGTATTGCTTTAAACCTTGCATCAATGTTTTCGTGGTTATCTGATTGATATTGAAAATTATTATTAAATATACACATTTTAGTTTTGAGAAAGGATATCAACAAATTCCATCACCACCAAGGAATTTACTTATTGGACAAGTCAGCTCTATTGAGGTGAATTTTATGACTTTGTCAAAAATTTTAAGAGTTTTTCTCGTACCTTGTATTTATTGAACTTTTTTCCTTTCATCCTAATACAAGTACGAATCTTAATATCTTCTTCTAAGCCTGTTTAAAGTAAGAGGAGAATCTCAAAAAATTCTCTCTCTCTGAAAAACAGAAAATTTAATTTTTCCTTAGTTACCCCTCTCTTTTATTTTTTTAAGCAAATCAAAAATATTTTATTCTAATAAAAGGCAGAATTGAGTTGGCAAGAACCAGAACACAATGCTAAAATTGTTGATCATTATCTGCTTTATATATACGAATTGGAAACGGGTTCAGAAAAGGCTGATTTATCAACAGAATTGAGAATAGAAACGGTGTCCAAAGAAGCTCGAATTAATCAATTGGAGCCTGGAACACGTAAATATCTTTATTAGATAATGAAATTTTGGAAGGAAAATTAAAAAAAAGAATTGTCGAAGTTTGTTCGACAATCGAAACCGATCTCTATTTGTAAACCAAACCTGTTATACCCTCTCCTTTTGGATTGGTATAATAATCGGAAAATACTTTTTTTTATTTTTAAAATTTTATTTCAACAAGGATTGCCTAAAAATTTTCTAGGTTATCTACTCCAAATAATAGCTCTCGGCCTTGGAGCTTCTAAAGATGAAAACGAACTCCCACGTTCATTACCTACTGAATTGAGATTTAAGGTGCTTATTACCTCCTGAAATTTTTTTAAAAGTTTATCTTCTCTTTTCTTAAAGACATCCGGAATTGCACCACAGGCTAGACCTTTCAAAGACAAAATATACGCGGCTTTAGGTTCAGAAACTTTATTGGCCTGTAAAATTCGGACAAGGCATCAAATATTTTATTTTAAAAAAATATTTTAAAAATATTTTTAGTGGAAATTCAACGAGAACCAGTCTTAAAATAAAATGGGAGCATCGACAAGAGAAACAACGACACGGGCATTTTCATGTTGTAGAACCAATAAATGGTAAATATATTTTAATTATATCCACTAGAGTTTAAATTTATGTTCAATTAAGATTGAAAATTTGTAAAAAAATTTTATGGCCTAAATTTATTTTTTAAGAAAGAATATCACAAAGCCATTACGTCTTTTCAAAGTTCAGACCGAGGGAATTATTAGCCAAGCTACACATTAAATCAACAAAGCCTGAGGATTATGGACTTTACAAATGTAAAGTGGTAGGAAATTGAAAAAAAAACTCGAAAAAAACTTTTTTTAAAGTCAGACGATTTTGGAGAGACAGAAGCTACTGTCCATTTAGCTATGAGTACAGTACAGATGCCTCTTGCATCCCCTCCAGAAATGCCACGACAATGTTGGTGTGTGATTTAAAAATATATTTTAAGTGAATTTTTCAAAAAATAATTTTCAAGTGTCCGTAGTGGTGTAAATAAACGTTGTTTGTTAATGTGTGGGATGACTGATTCAGAAAATCGTCGTTATGTTCCCAGACCATTTATGAGACAAAATTGTAGTGGAGAAATTTCTAAGGTTTTTGATTATTTTATTTCAATTTAAAATTAATAACATTCAAAGCTATAGGTACTTGCATGTGCAATGCCTTTGGTTGATGAAAGCGCTTGCTGCTTGATTAAAGAGGTTTTAAAACTTTTTGTGATGGGCAAACTTTGATATGTTGGGTGAACATTTTAATAACTTTTAAGTGGAGGATATGAGGATTGATTTGGGATTTTGGAATCTCTTTATAGTGGACTAGCAGTAAATGAATGGAAACCCCCTACCACTATCCACTTAATTACTAATTCTTAAATGAAAAATTATATAATTTTAAATTCATTAAGGTGCCTTCTCAATGTCTTTACCTTTGCGATCATCAACAAAAGGCACCTAATTTAATGCCCTCACTTTGCTTAGACTATGTTGCTACAGCTGAGGTATTAAATTAATTTAGGGTAAAACACATAGGAAGTCTCCCTAGCTTTTTTCAGCTTAAAAAACCCAGGAAATGGACCTCCAAAATATTACCAATTCCTTTATTTCATTTCTGCTGATTTAAAAATAAATTTTAAAAAATTTATTTCCCTAAAGCAATGCCGTCTTTCTGGAATTCAAAACAGGCCAAGTGTTGTCCGCAACCTGAAAGCACAAATTACTCAAGAAAATAATTTATTATCAACTTCAATTTCTCTTTTAATTAATTATGACAATTCTGAGAGAGCTGATATATATTATATTTATTGGCGTTCAGAAGGGGGGTTTTGGCAGCACAGATCTTCAAATGGAACATCAAAAAAATTAATTTTAGCCTCTTCTGTTAATGAATTAGTTGTTGTTGCGGCTAATGCTTTTGGTTTCTCACAACCTTCACAGCTTTTTCTAAGAGAAGGAAAATGGGTAAAAATATAAAATTATTGGAGCTTCCAAATCCTTTAATAGCCCTATATACTTTTATTGGAGAAGGCTTTTATTTGTTGATTTGTAGTTTGGGTTTGTCGGTTCTCGAATGATTTTTCTGTTATGCTATTCGGTTCTGTTTTGGATATCTGAAAATTCCTAGAACCGACAACTCTATTTGTTTTAATATTTTTTCTTTTATTTTAATCATACCTAATATATTTATAGTTAATTAAATAACTACATAATCAAATCAAATAACACCCTATACCTATCCCTTCAAAAAAGTCGAAAAAATTTTTTTATCTACTAAGAAAGGATGTGTTTTTAAAAAAACTATCAGGAAATCTAGTTAAATCCTGGCTGGTCTAATATTTGATTAACCCCAAATTTTCTGTGGCCTCATAAAATATTTAAATTGAAGATTCTTTAATTTATCTGAGAGCTCTGGGTCTGATTAAATTTAATAAGTTTTGATTAAATTTATTTTGTTTTTTGTTCGTTTTTTTCAAAAATAGTGCAAAATTTTTATTTTCTTCAAAAATAATTTCTTCGAATCATTCCTTTACAGAAAAACTAATTCCTATAATTTATTTTTCCTTAATTAATTTCCTATATTATATACAAATTCCTATATTTTTAACGTTATAACATCCATCCGAATCTTAAATATTTTTATTTTCTCCTATAAATCAGTCTAAAATTAAATGTAATTTTAGTGTATATTTTGTTTTAATTTGTTAAAATTTCCTATAGCACTTTTAATTAATTTAACTTTAGAAAACTAAAAATATTTATTAAGATCCCTATGATTGTTTTAAGGAAGATTTTTAAGAAATTAAAAAAATTTCTTGCAGATTTAAATATAAATTTTCACAATTTATAGGCATATATTTTAATATTAAAATCTAGAAAAGAAAAATTGTTGCTATAGAAATATATTTAAGTACATATGTACTATTTTGTTGTCAAATGATTTTTTTTAATTTGATCTCATTTATTTATGTCTCGATATTTATTGTATAATTTATTTTAAAAAAATTTTTTTTATTTAAATTTATAAAATATTTAAATTTGTCAATAAAATTTTGTTTTCAAATTTTTTATCTGATTAATTCATTTTTTCCGAGGTAGTTGGGTCATGAAGGGATAATTTTTATGATCATTTATCTGAGAAATTTTGGAACTGGACACAGGAGTTTTTGCAAAGTGTGGGGGGTATTTTTTAGTAAAGTCGACATCCAAAAAAAAGTGATTTAATTTTAATTTAAAGTAACTGGTGTTTTTTATTTTAGAAATTTTGGCGTTATCACAGCAAATTTTAAATTTTTCTGATTTTGTTCTGACAAAAATTTAAAATTAATCGAAAATTGGTTTGGACTTTATTATCAATTTGTTGATTTTGTGAGATTTGTTCTTATATTTCTATATTTTCTTTAAATCCCTTTTACAGAACCCTCTCGAATAAGTTACCGATATTTAACAGAAACTGCTGACAAACTTTTCTGATATACACAAGACAATTACATTATTTATTTAATTAACATATATTTTAAATTACATCAAGTAGCGCTCTTTTACAATTTTCAATTTAATTAAACATCCCCTCTTTTCAGAACACTCAGAAATTAATAAGGAGGCGGCTTCTTGGTTGGTTTTTTAGGATAAGCATCAGCATTTATAGCAGGCACAAACACCATAGAGCAAGCAATCAAAAAAGCAACAAAAATTGCCATTAACTAAATAAATTTTTTTTGTTAATTTTTAAATTAAATTATTTACCTTCATTTTTAGTAGTAGAGAGTTATTAAAGTAGTTTTTAGTTAAAAGAGAGAGGAGAGAATGTTTTTGAATAATTTTAGTCACTAAAATTCAACAACTATTTATTCTATCCAATTTTGAATTTAGGTAATTTTCTTCCTTGTTTACGTGGCATACATGATTGAAAAAAAATAATTATTTTGTCATAATATTTTCACGAATATTTTTGATAATTATCGTGTCGTCAGCATTTTATCAGAAAAAACACTGGCAACTTTTACAATCAAAAGGGAAACAATTAGAAATAAAAAGCCTATGTGATCCTCGATCTCGGTTTTTACAAAAAAAACCTCGACCCCGTACAACTCTCATTTTAATTTAATTTTCTTCCTTGTTTACGTGGCATACTTGATTGAAAAAAATAATTATTTTGTCATACAATTGTTATTATATTAGTCATACAATTGTTGTTTTTAATATACAAACCAGGGATCGCAGGACAGAAAAACAAAATTCCCGATTTCCCGATTAATTTGAAAGACATGGTGTTTGTTTAAAAATTTTTTCCAGGACCTCTATGTATTAGACAGCTAAACTGATGCCTGGGACATCTACTAAATCAGATTTAACAGACGAATTTGATAATGATTTAGTGAATTTTTGATAAAATTTAGGAAATTTAATTGAATTTTTAAAAGTTACCGAGGTTTTTAAAAACCTCGGTAATCCTTGAACCTCGACCTGGGCCAAAATTTGCGCCTCGGTCTCGATTCAGTTTTTACAAAAAAAACCTCGACCTCGTACAACTCTAATTTAAATTAAATTTTGTTCCAGTTTACGTGGCATACTTGATTGAAAAAAATAATTATTTTGTCATACACAATTGTTATAATATTAGTCTACAATTGTTGTTTTTAATATACAAACACACACATCCATTAATTATAAATTTTATTTTATTTTTTTATCAAAAAATTTATTTCCTTTAGAAAAATCCAACACTTCTAAAAATTAAAAAAATCGGTAGTAATTTAGAAAAAATTTTCTTACTCATCTAAAATAAAATTTTATTTTTTTAAAATTATTTTTTCTAATATTTTCTATATTCATGTGAATTCTTTAAATAAAAAAGCAAAATTTTCTTTGTTAATTTACCAAATTTTTATCTATTATGTTTAGGTTTCCAACAACTAAAAATGCTATAAACTAGCATCAAAAATCAAAACTTTTTTTAAATTATTCTAACAATATTTTTATTCTTACATCATTGTTTTCATTTTGATTTTATTTTTTTAAAGAAGAATTTCTTCAACTTTTTTAAAATTGAGGAAATCGACAAAATGTTGACAACACGATAATTATCAAAAATATTGTGAAAATATTATGACAAAATAATTATTTTTTTCAATCAAGTATGCCACGTAAACAAGGAAGAAAATTAAATTCAAAATTGGATAGAATAAATAGTTGTTGAATTTAGTGACAAATCATTCAAAAACATTCTCTCCTCTCTCTTTTAACTAAAAACTACTTTAATAACTCTCTACTACTAAAAATGAAGGTAGTAAATAATTTAATTTAAAAATTAACAAAAAAAATTTATTTAGTTAATGGCAATTTTTGTTGCTTTTTTGATTGCTTGCTCTATGGTGTTTGTGCCTGCTATAAATGCTGATGGTTATCCTAAAAAACCAACCAAGAAGCCGCCTCCTTATTAATTTCTGAGTGTTCTGAAAAGAGGGGATGTTTAATTAAATGAAAAAATTTTGAGTAAAATGTTGGATATTAAAAAAAGATTTACTCTTTGTAAATTAAATAAATGTTAATTAAATAACTGAATAAATTATCTAAAGCTATTATTGTCTTGTCTAATGCTTAGAGTACATATAACACAAAAGTTTTGTCAGTACAACGAAGATTTTTCGGAAAGTTGGTCTCCATTTTTTGAAATTTCGGGCTCAAAGTAAACAAAATATCAACAGAAACTTACAACGGATTTGAGCTCAATTCATCATAACTATTTCGCAAAAAATAGAATATACCCTAAAAATCCGGGCCCTAATTATTTCCACTCCCTTGCAACATTTTTATTTTTTGATTATAAAAAATTACTCAAAAAAAATATTTTTTTTTTGTTAAACTAAAGAAGTATTTGTTGAATTAGCCAAGCTGTGATTACCGAGACTGTTAAAATTGTGAATTTGTTCCTCTATTCTCTACAATATTTGCTTTATAAAATTATTTTTGTTAGCGAAAAGCAAGCACACATCCATTAAAATAAACTTAAAATAACAAACTTATCCTAACTAAATATGTATGGTGGGTAAAAATAATGTGAAGAAATTAAAATAATTTTGTCTTTTACCTTATATAAATTATAAGGATGACGATATGAACAAAACCCTTAGTTCGGGAGAAAAAAATTATTTTAGAAATTTTAATTAAAGAAAAGCTAGCGTTTTCAATAAATTTTAAATAAAAGAAAAAATTTATTTAAAAAATTAAGGTAAAAATTTATAAAAATATTTAATTTAATTTTCAAAATTTATAAATTAATTAATTTAATATAATTTATTTATTCATTATAAGAAGGATTATTTGTTGAAAAAGAAATACATTTATTATTGTCAATTGTTCGTTGATGATTTGAGCGATTATTGGAAGCAAAGTGAACAGAAGTAGAACTACCCAATAACTGGAAAATTAAAATTCTGATTTTGTGGATTATTAATTTTAAATAAATTCTGATATTAAATTCAGAATTATAAAAACAGATTCTGATTTAAAATTAATAATTCTGATTAAGTGAAAATGGAATTCTGATTTTAATTTATTTTTTCTGATTTTTTTGAAAAGAAAATCAGATATTCTGATTTTATATTCTGATTTTGTAAAACAAAATTCTAAAATAAATAGAAGTCATATTCTGATTTTGATAGTTTTTTAAACAAGAATTCTGATTTTAACCAGAATTCTGAATTCTGACCAGAATTCTGTCAAAACCCAGAATTCTGAATTCCAAATTCTGAAATAAACTATAATTCTGATTTTTTTAATTCTGATTTTCTAAAAACAAAATTCTGAAATAAAGAAGTAGTATATTCTGATTTTGATAGTTTTTTAAACCAGAATTAATATTATACATATTAAATCAGAAAAGTTTCCTATAAATTCTGAATAAAATTATTTTTACTTGATTTCTCCCTTCTCCTCCCCCTTCTTCCTCCTCCTCATTTTCATTAAACATTCTTG